GCGACCCCCTAAAAGTATGCAGCCCTTCAAATATCAGTTGCCAACACATGTTGACCTTCTATATATATATATATATATATATATATATATATATAAATATATATATTTATGCATATGTGTTTCTGTTTTAGGTGCCCTTTATGCTTATGTCTTTTATTGCACTGGGCGAGTCTCCTTCATTACGTATACGCAAATTTGTCTGGCCCCAAATTAAAATAAATGCGCTAAGCATGCCCAAAAAGTTGCTGAAAAACATTTGCACACTTTCTCGTTTACGATACCCATCCTCCCGCAGTCGTATATTTTCGTTAATTTCGACTTCCCGCCTAATACGGCTTTTGTGTATGGAATTGAAAAATAATAAAACCGGATGTTTAAGTATTAAACAAAGGATTACGACCCAAGACGATGAGTTTTATGGAAATTTTGTGAGTTTTCTCAAGCCTTATATCTGCAATTTGAAAAGCTACAAATATTTATGGCGCGATTTTCTTATAAAATTATTAAAAATTTCGTATAACACATAAATAGGATAATAATAAAGTTAAAGTGCTATCACTTTAAATTGAAAAAAAATGAAAAGAACAATAAAACTAATGTTTGAGTCATGATTTTCCAAGAAAATGCTCTAGATAACTACATGCCCAAATAAAACCTAATGTCTTGCATCATTGACTGCTTCATCAGCTAGAAGCGTCCTTGTTGAGCTTAACTTTATGCATTCCCTGCTTTTTAGCTGTTATTTATGTCAAGTCATAAACGAATCCCTGCGAAGAGTTTGTGTTCTACCGTGCTCCACTTCCATGCTCCAAGTTTTTTAGCCAGCAAACTCAACAAACCCAACCCACCGGATCCTCCCAAGGCGACGTCACTCGTTTTTTACCGGCTGTGCATTTCCCCCCATCGCTTCCTGTTTGCTGTACGTGCTCAGTGCTTGAGTTTTTGCTTGGCATCCAACTGATTTCAAATTTTCACATAATCGCGTGTTGCCCATAGAAAGCAGTAGACAAAAAGGAACACCTCGTGAACGTTCCCCAGAGAGTAGTTGCTGTTAAGATACAAGAGCAACTGAAGGAACTGCAATCATGGTGCTAGCCCCGCTGATTACCCTGCGAGCTCTTGACGGAACTGTACGCCGTTGGCTATTCAGAATATTGTTATTACTATTTCAGTGCCAGCACTGTGCCGACCAGAAGGGAAAACGGGAAAACGTTACGAATTCGAATTCGTAATTGAGCGAGGCGGATGAATTACACGGACGCTGACAAACTTTCACCATGTAAATTGCTCGACTGGGGGTCAGCCACCACATAAGGGGAGCTCTGGACTCTGGTCCCCGGTCTCGGGTCTCGGGTCTCGGGTTTCTGATTTCTGGCCTGGGCTTGGGGCCTCCGTATGTAGTTATACCATGCCACCCGTTGAAGGTGAAGCTTTTGCGCAACACTCGAAATCAAATTCATTTAAACTGCCACCCGTTTGTGGCCCGTTAATGACGATGACGTAGGCACCACCCCAAAGCTTTCGATGAATCTGATTCTGAATCCGTATCTCTGTATCTGTATCTCTGTATCTGTATCTGTATCTGTGTCTGTCTCTGTTTTTGTTTCTGTCTCTGCATCTGTATCGGTATATGTATCTGTATCTGTATCTGTATCGGAGGGGCGCACGAGTCTAGGGCACACGTGCATGAACAGAACGGATTTGACAACCGGCCAGACGAGACGTATTTCACGTTCGCGTTGAAACCCCGATAGTGTGAAACCTTATCGTCTCGCCCACTCGAAGATGAGGCCACTGCCATAAATCTTGCCCTGCTGATCCCGATAGGTTGGCCACTGCCAGCCATTGCCAGCCGCAGCCCCAGTCGCACCGCGATCGCCGTCGAGCGTAGACATGTCGGTGTCCTGGTCGAAGACTTTCGTGGCGCTCACCGTCGCCTGGCTGAGCACCCTGTGCCTGCTGCCCGTGGAGACCTTCTGCGACACCTCCTACTACGAGAAGTACTACGCGGCCCGGCGCTATGTGCCGCTCAAGCGGAACGCACCGCTGGTCTTCAACTTCACCTTAACACTGCCAGATGGCAATCAACTGGCGACGTTCGAGCGTCCCGCCCTGGTGGGCAACCTGCCCGTTCTGGGTGCCTGGCAGGCGAAACAGGCGGTGCTGCTCAATCGCACCGCCGTGCACAATGTGTGGACCGCCTCCGTGGAGATCCCGCAGAACAGCAGCGTGGAGTATCGCTACTTTGCGGCCTCCATTGGCCAGAGTGGAGGAGCCGTTCAGATCCGCCGCTGGGAGTCGCACGTCCAGGCCAGGACCTTCAACACCACCAAGTTCAATGGCAACCGGAGCGATGAGTTCGGACTAATAGCCGGACAGCGGCAGTTGTCGCGTGGTTGGCTGCAGGACTCCGGCAGCATCCTGCAGTTGAAGGTGTTCCGCGAGGCCCTCAATTTGGAGGAGCAGCCGGAACTGGGACAGGGAAGGTTGCGCCTGCGACTGCAGCCAGTGGATCCGAAGAGTCTGGCGCCCATCCTCAGCTCGTCACGCGCCAGTGTGGAGTATGTGAGAATGTCGTACGCGGACAGTAAGCTGCGGGTGCAGCCGGAGTACGGAGTGGCCTACGCCTCCGGCGACATACTCATGTTCCACGTGAGCCTGGAGCAGCTGGAGCGGGTGGCCTTCCTGGTGGAGGTGTATGCCGAACAGCCGGCGGAGAGTGTGGTCCGGCTTCTGGGCTACTCGCACCTGCTGCACACCTCGTTCGCCGGCACCGAAGGTCGAGTCGCCATCGACCTCATCTCGCCGCTCTGGCAGCGCGTGGTGGGCGGACTGCGGCTGGAGTACCTCCACATCCGGCCCATGGAACGGGATGGCTTCGACCTGCGCACCAGCTTCGCCAACTACTGGCGCTCCAACTGGACAGCCCTGGAGGTGGGCCACCGCGGACTGGGCAAGTCACTGACGGTCACCACGAATGCGGCGCCGCTCATCGAGAACACGGTGGCCTCGATGATGGCCTCCGCCGAGATGGGCGCCGATCTCGTGGAGTTTGATGTGCAGCTGACCAGCGATCTGGTGCCCATCATCCACCATGACTTCTCCATTCGCGTGTGTATCGACTCCAAGACGCCGACCAGTCGCGACGACCTCACCGAGGTCCTGCTGAAGGACATATCCTACGAGCAGCTGAAGGACCTCAAGACCTACCAGATTGTGGGCAACAAGATTGTCGAATATCCGGCGCACAACAACGTTGAGCCGCCGGAGCAGCGGCTCTTCCCCACGCTGCAGGACTTCTTCGAGCGGGTGAACCAGAGCACAGGATTCGACATCGAGATCAAGTGGCCGCAGCAGCGGGCAGACGGGCAGTTCGAGAGTGAACAGACGCTGGACAAAAATCTCTTCGCGGATCGCATCCTGGCGGTGGTGCGACGGCATGGCTGCGGGCGTCTTAATGTGATCAAGAGCTTCGACGCCGATCTGTGCTCCCTGCTGCGCTTCAAGCAGCACATGTACCCGGTGCTCTTCCTGTCCAGCAGCAAGGAGAACGTCTTCGCGGATCCGCGTACCAGCACTGTCGAGCAGAGCATCAACTTTGCCCAGGCCTTCGATCTTGGCGGCATTTCGCCCAATGCCGCCTTCGTCAAGGCAGATCCGGCAGTGGTCCAACGGGCCAAGGCACAGGTGCCTATCGTGCTGCTCTGGGGATCGGACATCAAGGACCGTGACTCCATCAACTGGTTCCTGCAGCAGGGACCCACGGGCGTCATCTACGACCGGCTGGACCTCTGGCTGGGCGCCAACAGGACGAGCGCCTTCGAGGCGGAGCAGGACCTGCCCGGCTACTTCCAGCTCCAGTGCGATCCGGCACCCAAGGAGCGCGAGCTGAACGCCACCATTGAAAGCATCCTGAGTAACGTTAACTTCCTGTAGTCCTCGATTTCTGTAGCGTCCCAAAACGTAATATACCCCATGCAATAAATGAAATAGTAAGGATATATTATAGCTCGGAATTCTTTCTTTCTAAGAATATATCTAATATTTTTTAATAATATTTCCTATCGAGATTTTTGGTAAATTTATAAATATGAATCGTAGCTTTTAAATTCTTTCGGCAATATTTTAAATTAACAGTTAGCAATTCCACAAACGCTGCTTGCATTTTTTGTCAGTCAATGCTACTTTTTTTTATTAACTAATAAGAACTAAAATCCTTCATATAAAACAAATTTCTTGACACTAAGCCCGGATTTTCCCTTGTTTCTTATATCCTGCGAAAGTAAAAGAAAAAGAAAAAGGGAAGCCATTAAACTCGGGTTATTTGCTTTGATTTATATGCGCAATTTCAGCGCAACTTTTGACAGAGAATGCTTTCTGCTTTCGTTTTTGCGCTGGTAAACATGAACGTGAACTTGAAATTTAAATCTTTAATGAAATCATTGCCATCAGCCACTGTCCCACATGTCATGTGGCGATGGTTCGTACCCATTTCCATTTGCATTCGCATTCGTATTCCCACACCCACCCATTCCATTGAGTTGGGTGCTTGGTGGCTAGTGGATGGGGATGTGGGAGATGGGAGGTGGTGATGACGGATCGACTCGAATCTGGATGCTGGGCCAATTACCTAGTGCCCGCGTTTGCATTCCGCTGGAGGGGATTAGGGGTATCCATGCATATGCAAATATTATGGCATTTATTGCGGTTATTTATCCGCTCCGTGGGTGTAAATTCAGTTCAGCAATTTGTTGCAACTTGAAACTGGGACGCCTAATTGGATTTTCAGAAATTCCCTTACAAATTGTCGCTTGCAAAATCAAAAATAATTGTGGCTATGCCTGCAAACGTTTTGTTTGCGGCTATCAGCAAGTGCAATCATAATTATTTGATTTATTACCTTTTAGCCTTAGGTGGTTCGTAATCTAAATAATCTTTGAGTGACTTGCGATTAGAGAGTGGAGTAAACAATGCTTTCGGGCTAACTTATTTGCTTGCAGCGCCAGCTCATGGAGGCCTACATCCGGCAGAAGAGAGCCTCGCCGGGAATGGTCCAAGCCAGCGATCTACAGATCAACCGGCCCATGTCCGGGATGCGCAGCAACAGCAGGGAGCTGCACGCCTACGACGGACCCATGCAGTTCATCAGCTCGCCCCAGAATCCGGACCAGATACTGACCAACGGCAGCCCCGGGGGCATCGCTCCGGTTGCCATGAACACGAGTCGCAACCACTCAAACAACATGCGCAGCCTGAGCACCATCAACCAGGAGGGTAAGTGGCCGTACACTCCGAAAAAAAAAGTTAATCATATCATTACCTTGAAAAATAAAAAACATTTCTTTTAAGACCGATTTAACATTTTAGTTCGAAAACAATGTGATCAAACTATTTGATTTAATATCAAATTTTAAAATTGTTTTTAGTAAATTGAAATGATGTTAAAATTTTAAATATACAGAAAAATTAAGAAGTTAATTCATACAAAAAGGCAGCGACCAAAAAGTTTTTGGCAAAAAAAAAAACTTCGCATATATGTAGATAGTTATATTGTTATTCTAAGAAAGTTGTAAGTCCAATTAATTGTTTAACAGAAAGGCACATGTTATATATTTAAATGTGCTTATTGGTTAGACACGAACATTTTATTGGTCGACATTGAATTTAATTAATAGTGGAAATACAATTTTTGCCCTGGCAGCTGATCTTATAGAGGAGATCTCTTCGCATGAACTGGAGGACGAGGAGAGCAGTCCGGTGACGGTGATCGAGCAGCAGCAGGCTGGCAGCCACAGCGCCAACTCGACGCACTCGCAGAAGCCGCGTGCCCGCCAGCATTCCTTTAGCGACAACCTGGACGAGGACGACTACACCAATCGCAATGTCGCCGGAGCAGCTCCAGTGCGTCCCGCCGGAATGGCCTCGTCGCCCTACAAAGATGCGACGCTCGACAGCAATGGAACAGGCAATGGGGCTGGTGGGGAGTCCGAGGGGGATGTCATCGGAAACATCGACCAGTTCGTGATGCAGCCAGCGCCACAAGGCGTCCTCTATAAGTGCCGCATCACCCGGGATCGCAAGGGCATGGATCGAGGTCTCTTTCCCATATACTACTTGCACCTGGAGCGAGACTACGGCAAGAAGATATTCCTGCTGGGAGGTGGGTTAATACTATATCCCCCATTACATAGCTATTCCCATAACCTCTTCCAACCGATTTTATTGGCAGGCCGCAAACGCAAGAAGAGCAAGACATCCAACTACATTGTCAGCTGCGATCCCACGGATTTGTCTCGCAATGCCGATGGCTTTTGCGGCAAGCTCCGCTCAAATGTTTTTGGCACGTCCTTTACCGTCTTTGACAATGGAAACAAGGAGAGCACGGAGAGCCCTAGACTCGACCTGGCCGTGATTATTTACGTAAGTAATGGGTCGCTTCTAAAATATAATTTATAAACAAAACATAACAGAATGTTTTGCTTACTTTGTGGACCACTTGACAAAATTTTATTTAGAAGAGAAATTTTTCCTCCTTGATTTAAATTCACATTTAGATTTAAGTTAATCTAAATATGATTTTATGAACATTTTTATTTCACATACTGTTTTGCATAACATTTTTCCGAAAATCTTACAGTGTTTTCAATTTAATTAAAGTAATATTTTGAATAAATTTCTCTTGGTAAATGAATTAGTTAAGCAACAAAATTTTAAAAATTCGGTGAACTATAATTACAGGACACAAACATCCTGGGGTTCAAGGGACCTCGCAACATGACTGTAATACTGCCGGGCATGACTGAGGATGATCAGCGTGTCAAGATCAGCTCAGCGGATCCCAAGCAGCAGGGCATTCTGGACCTCTGGAAGATGAAGGTAAGAGGATAGTCGATCCAAAAGGATAGCATACTGATTAATCGATCCTTTCAGAACATGGACAACATTGTGGAGCTGCACAATAAGACGCCGGTGTGGAACGACGAAACGCAGTCGTATGTGCTCAACTTTCACGGACGCGTCACCCAGGCGTCGGTGAAGAACTTTCAGCTGGTCCACGACTCCGATCCCGAGTACATAGTGATGCAGTTTGGCCGCACCTCGGAGGACGTCTTCACCATGGACTACCGCTACCCACTGTGCGCGATGCAGGCCTTTGCAATAGCCCTCAGCAGTTTCGACGGCAAAATAGCCTGCGAGTGAGCTAGCTTTGGTCCTCGGGGTTAGCCCGCTGCCTTATGTACAGCTGTCTGGAGGGTGGAACAAGCCACTCTGGCCAGAACTCTATCGGAAATCTAGTCACGCGAAGAACTCCTTCATCACTTATGTATGTATATGTAATGTAGTGGCTATCATTTTATGACATTTACTCAGAATGTGCTCACCGATTTTATAAGAAATTAAGTAGGACAGGTCCTATAACTCTGTAAATCTTAATGTGCCCATCTAACGATAAGTTCACTTGTAAGCGAATCGAGGTAAATGTCATTTAAACTTAATATCAGTTTTATAATCCGCATATAGCAACAAATCAAGGACAAATGTAAACTATTTGAAATGAGAGTACTATTAGTCTTTAAGAGAACATTACTAACTCGTACTAGGCTCTAGGTAAAAGCAGCTGATGATCAAAGATTTATTTTTCATTGTGTGAGCAGTGTAGATACTTTTCATGAAAGCATATATTTATTTATCAAAATCATAAAGAGGCAAATTAAAGTAAATAAAAGAATTATGCAAATAAAATAAGTTGTTTTATTGGAAATATAAATACCACCCTCTTCTGCAATGAAAAGGTTCAATGTTTTGTATTTGTATTATTTATTTTAGTACACATCATTACTTTATTTTGGTAAATGCAAGACTGCGAACCCTCCACATATAAATTAGATAATATATTTACAAAAGAAATGTCAGTTGTCACAAAAAATCATTAAATATCTTCAAAATGAGTATATAATCGAAGTATTACAATAATAACTAATAAGTACAACGCAATTCTGTGGAATACTCCACTATTTCACTTTGTGTTATCATAATCAGACTCTGTATATTTCACAGAATGTGGAACTATTCGTTCCCTTTAACTCAACTTGTGTCTTTATACATGCTTATAAGTGCTGTTTGATTGAAGCCTACCTCTGCTACGACCTTTTACGAGGCTTATGCGTCGGTCGATTCTGGGGGAGTTTAAACTCGTGAGGATCATAGTCCTCGTACGCGAGCTTTCGCTCTGGCGCCGACTCAGGTAACTTGTTGATTTTCTGCAGCCGTGCATAGACAATTTGCAAATGCCTACCAATATAGTCCTCGGCGGGGGCCAAGCGCTGGGCATATTGCAAACAGGCAGCGGCCTTCGCAAGCCTTTTGCGTTCCACAAACACCACACACAGGTTGTGCAGCCCTTGGGTGTTGTGGGGATCATAGTGAAGTATGCTTCGATAACACTTCTCAGCCGCATCCAGGTCCTTCATATGGTTAATATAAATGTCGCCCAACAATATCAGACCTTTGACATGCGAGGCGTGATGTCGGATCAGTTGATTTAAGAACGGCACCGCATCTAGGGGCCGCTTTGTATCCGCCAGCAGCAACGCCAGATTAAACAGAGCACTACGGAAGTCAGACTTAAGGTGGATGGCCCTCTTAAAGAATTGCTCAGCCTCATCAAAGCTCGATTCATCCATGGCCAGCATGCCCAAGTTGAAGTACACCTTCTCGTTCTGATCATCCTTGGCAAGCACTTTGTAAAGGCGTGAGCGGGACACCCTGCGCGCCTCCTCGCCACCTAGCTCCTGCAGGAGAATGGCTGAGTTGAGCAGCGCCTGCTCGTGTTCCGGGTACAGCTCGATCGCCTTGTTGAAGTACACTTGCGCCTGCTGGCTCTTGCCCTGCTCTAGGAAGACCACGCCCAGATTATAGTAGATGTCCGCATTCTCGTTGTCATACAGCAGGGCCTGCTCGTACACCTCCTGGGCTTGGGCGGTGCGATTCAGCTTCATGAGAATGTCTCCGCGGTTGATATAAGCCTGTAAAACAAGGTTGTTTAGTAACAAATTCTAGCAGAACAAATAAATCTATGGCGTTTACTTGAACATAGTCACTCCTCATGCTGATAGCCTGGCGATAGAGATGGTCAGCCTCCTCCAGACGCGTTTGATTCTTGGCTATAAGATTCGCCAGGTTGATAAACACATTTAAGTGATTGGGAGCAATGCGCGCATGATAGCTAACCCCCGGCTTGGCCTGTGGAAACAGAGCCTTGGCCTGAACATAGGCCTGTTCCGCCTCCGCATACCGCTTGAGATTATTGAATGTGCGACCTACATTGATGTGGGCTCCAATGTCATCGGCCTGTATGCGCACGGCCTGCTGGAAGTAGAGTAATGCCTCTTCAAACTTTCCCTCGTTTTCCAAAGCGTGCCCTACGTTGTTGTACAACTTGGCGTTGCGTTGATTTACGTGTACGCCGGACATAAAGAGAGAGTACTCTGTTCGCCAGTCTGAATTACGCTGATGCGTTTTCAGAGCGTGCGTGAGCAGCAGAACAGCCAGGGCTGCCTGTCCAATCCGACGCCATGTAGGGCTCCCACGACGCTGAAGCTGCTCAAAGCCGTAGGCCACCAGCAAACAGTAGCCCATGGATGGCATGTACAAAATGCGTTCTGCCACCACAAAGCCCACTGGGAAGAACAGATTGGAGGCGGGGAGGAAGGGCAACACCATCCAGCCGAGACACATAATAAGAGTCCGCGACCTGGCCAAATTGCGGGTGAAGCACGCCTTTGCTACCAAAGTCCCTAGCGCCATGAAGGTAAACAGTGTAGTCAAGTTGCGGGCATCCGCAAATCCCTTCAACATGGGTACCGTGCCTGAAAAAAAAGTTAAAACATTTTAAAAAACATTGCCGTCTTGAATTTATGAACATTACTCACCCATTGTCCAGTCGCAGCAGAGCAACGAGGGACAGAGCAGCAACCAGCAGTTCAAGTAGATCAGGTAGCCGTAGGTTAGTTGCCTTTCGGGCGTATCCGCCGCCGAGGCTGGATTGTCGAACCGCGTAAAGATGGGCAACTGGGAGCCCATCACATAGACACGGCCCACCAGCAGGGCCAACGTGATTCCGGCCAGAAAGATCAATCGTTTCCACAGCACCGAAGAAGACCAGCGTCGGATGCCCGAGGGATTCGCCAACTTGGGCGAATGCTGTTCGGTCTGCTCCTCGAACAGACGCAACACAAAGTGGCAAAGATGCAGCGGCCGCAGTTGATGCACCACGAACAACTCGTAGACCACGCAGATGCCGGCGATGGTGATACCTTGCTCCTTGCACAGCATGGAGGCCAGCAAACAACTGCCAAAGCAGGCGAAAAGCGCCAGCCAATTGGTTCGACGAGGGCAGCCCGAGTCGCCGACGGACCTCGCGTAGCTGAGAAATGCGGCAAGGAAGCAGATGGAAGAGAGCAATTCAGCGCGCCCGACGACGCCAGTAACGGCCTCCGTGTGAACCGGATGAACGGCGAAGAGCAACGAGGCCACAAAGGCGCATGTGTTGAGCTGGGAGGCTGAGGCTGAGGATGAAGGTGAGGACGAGGCCGAGGTTGCATTACTGCCCGACGAGGCACACTGGCGCAGCAGCAGCCGGCAGACCCGTCGCCACAACAGGCAGACCGACAAGTGCAGCAGCAGGTTGACGAAGTGGTAGCCAAACGGCTCCAGCGCATGCAGCAAGTAGTTGAATCGGAACGTTAGAACGGTGAGTGGGCGGTAGGACTTGTGGGACTGCTCCTTGCGCATCGGCGTGCCCCAGAAGTCATTGAGGAAGACGTTGCGCAGCGGCGTGTGAGGTCTCAAGTCCTTGTTGTCCCTTATCGCACTAATGTCGTCGAAGACCAGCCCGCACTGCGTGCTGTTGTAGTAGCAGGCGAGGCAGGCCACGCAAATGCACAGGAACTCGAGCAGATTGCGCTGCGAGGAGCTGGTCGCCCTTTCCCTGTCCTTCGGCGAGAAGGAGGGTGCATTCTGGTGGACTCCGGGGTTGGGGTTCATTGACATGTTGACTTCGCGTTACTTCGTGAAGGGCTTCATGTATCCGTAGTTGTTCGGTCAGGCGGCGAAATGTGACGTGCAGAGTTTTCCCCAGCCACGGTTGGCAGGTCCCCTAAAGGCCTGGAAAAACTACGGAATGGAAAAAGCATTTTCAATGATTAGTTAGTTATCATGTGCATTTTGTATAGCTTTTAATGCAGATTCTCTATAAAACAAACGCCTAAATGTATGCTACATAATTACACACTTTTCAAACGGGATTCCCCCCAGAATAACTAACTTCTGCAGTAATGCACATACATATGTACATATATGAAAGCCCCTTGCAACTCTAGCGGATACACACAAATTCCAAATCCTCTTACTTTCCGGAATTCTCCCTCCGTTACTTACCGATTTCTCCCCTATTCGAATTGTTTTAAATGACAAACTTTCTACCGTTTTTTATGAGCACTTAAAATCTTACAAAGAAGCAAAAACTGATTGCGGAAAAAATCAATTAATACGCAACAAAGTAACTCCTTCCCGGTTACTGTCCTGGTTACCGACTGCACACACAAAAGCCCGAAGTTAACAATGTTGTAACCCGCGGCCCGACAGAGCTCCGGATCCGGATGGATACGGAGAGCGTCGCCGAGAGGCGGAGAGCATGAGAGATTTGTTTGCATAAACTGTTGTAAATATTGTGGGGACTTGGGGCATTACTAGGCGGGGCAGATGGGCGGATGCCACAATGTTGCACTCAATGTCATCGATTTTCCGGGCGTACAGTCAAAACAAACCACCACCAAGAAGCCAGTCAGCGCTGCTCGTGAAGAGCGGAGTTGGGAGTCGGGTCTTTGGAGTCCGATTCTCAGCTGAGCACAACTTTGTTGCACGACCGACTTTTCCCGAAGGACGACCGGGGTCGCACGTGCTCCGTTTATGGCTTTCCCGCCAAGAGCGGCACCTGCGCCCTCGCATCCTTGCACTTTCACTTGCCAGGACTCTCGCTCTCTGGGCGCTCATCGCGCTCCCGCTCTCCGGGCGCACTTAAATGGCCGTGTGTTTTTGTAAAATTACTTTGACCGAGATACGGATTGGAGAAGGACATGGCTGAGGAGATATGGCGAAGGATAAGGGAGATGGAGCTAGAGCCGGAGAGCCAGCCGTGTCCTCTCCCATTTTGACATGGACGCCATTACAACGGCGGTGGCCTCACACACGCACACAACCACACGGCCAAAAACAATCCGAATGGCCAACTTTGTAGCAATTTAGCAATAATTACAATGTTGCTGTTAAAAACTCTTCACTGATAAAGCCGACAACGACATATCCCACTAGTCCAACCACTCACTTGTTAAGGTAGTTCCATTGCCACGAATTAAATTAACATTTTAATAAATCAGAAGATATACGACTGGTTGTGGGTTTGTTGTTGTGTTATCGATACACCGATAAGCTGCTTCTTCTTCTCCATCAGCCATTCACAGAGAACGACTTATCGATATGCGGCGATAGTTCTATCGCGTTGACCCCATCTCTGCCGCGTTTTCGGTAAAAGTGGGAAGAGATAATAGCATTTTTCCAAAGGTTTGCCAGGGAACATCACAATCTAGGCACAATCATGTCCACCGAAGACTTCTACTTGCGCTACTACGTCGGCCACAAGGGCAAGTTTGGGCACGAGTTCCTGGAGTTCGAGTTCCGGCCGGACGGCAAGCTCCGGTACGCTAACAACTCCAACTACAAAAATGACACCATGATCCGCAAAGAGGCCTTCGTCCACCAATCTGTGATGGAGGAGTTAAAGCGCATCATCATCGATTCGGAGATCATGCAGGAGGATGATCTGCCCTGGCCGCCACCAGATCGCGTGGGTCGACAGGTGGGTTTTCTGGACAAGCAGCGCACGTGAAAGTGAAGCCCCTTACTAACCCAAATGTGTTTTTTAGGAACTGGAGATCGTCATAGGGGATGAACACATTTCGTTTACCACCTCAAAGACCGGATCCTTGGTGGACGTGAATCGCTCAAAGGACCCCGAAGGCCTGCGCTGTTTTTACTACCTGGTGCAGGATCTCAAGTGCCTGGTCTTCTCACTTATCGGACTGCACTTCAAGATCAAACCCATATAAGCCATGTATTCGAATGTAAGCATAGCCTATTTAACAGACTCATTGTATTTTGTAATGGAACCTCTTAAATTCTTGTACATGTATTAGCAATAACGCCGTACGTTTTGTGTACAGTTTTCAGTGAATAAATAATGACAATGAATAATATGTTTTCGGTTTCTCTCTATTATTAACGGATACAATAAATTTTGAACTCCTTGCAGTTTTAGGATTTCGTCGTCTGATTTGTATCAAATCCAAAGTCTGGGGGGCGCCATCTGTCGAACTGCAGGAAGCGTAGAAGGTCCGCTAACAGTTCTTTTGTAGGACAATAAGTAAATAACTTCTAAAATAATAGCTCGATCATGATCAAGAATAGATTTACTTATTAGTGTCGGAACACTAGGAAGTGTTACCGGTAGTGACGACTCAT